ACTCGGCCTTCAGCACGACGCCAACGCCGAAGCCGGGCAGGCGCTCACCGTCACCCATGGTGACCGCTCCGCCGGATCCTACAACTCCTCCGGCAATGGCGGCGGGGATCGCCCAACGACGGCTCCTCCGCTCGTCCGCACCGCTCTCCAACCGCAACAACAACAATACGGCGCGGGCGGCCGCTATAACAACCAAGAACGACGGCGCGCCGCCCGTAGGGGCAACGGCGGCGGCGGCGAGCGGCGGAACGCAGCTTCAACAACTCCAACGCCCGAGCGCGCCCCTACGCCGCGGGCTTCAACCCATGGCAAGGTATGGTGCGGGCATGGCAGATGCCCTTCCGTGCTCAAAAGCGGGAGTCCCGGGTCCGCGCCGCCTTCCAACCTCAAGCGCGATGATGGCCTCTCACCGCAGCCACTGCCGTCCCGCGACGGCTCCGCCAACTCCTTCGACACCGGGGCCTCTATGTCTGCACTCCACTCAGCCGGCGTTCCACATCAGCCGCAGAGCACGTCCGACTGGTACTTCGACACCGGTGCCACGTCACACATGTCCTCCAACCCCGGTAATCTCCCCTCCCATACACTTCGTCCTTCGTCTTCTTCCATCACAGTGGGCAATGGTGCTCGGTTGCCTGTCACTCACCGAGCACACACCAGTAATCCCCACACTTCCTCTCCTTTACATTTAAACAATGTCCTTGTTTCTCCTTCACTCATCAAGAATCTGATTTCAGTTCGTCAATTAACCCGTGAAAACAATGTTTCCATTGAATTTGACCTGCTGGTTTTTCCATAAAGGATCTTCCTTCCGGGGAGGAGATGCTCGATGTGAGAGCAAGCAAGCGATCTCTACCCCGCGCGCCTTCCTCACCATCAAGCCCTCATTTGCATCGTCAACGGCGTCCTGTGGCATCAGCTGCTCTGGACACCGGACAACCTCGTTAATTCTCGATTTTACACACTTTTTCCTTTTCCCGTAATAAGGTGATGGCCACTCTTGCGCTTCTTGCCGTTTGGGCAAGCACACCCGCTTACCTTTCCACAATTCTCGCATCCCAAACATTTTTCCTTTTCAAGTAGTGCATTCTGATGTTTGGACCTCTCTCATATACATCATTCCGGTACAAATACTATGTTATTTTTCTTGATGATTACACCCACTATCTTTGGACCTGTTCCTCTCTGAAATAAGTCCGACGTTTTTACGACAATCGCGCCTTCATTGCTTATGTTCGGACTCGGTTTAGCCTTCCCATTCTCTCATTTCAGACGAGATAATGGCCGTGAGTATGATTCCTATGCCATGCGCCTTCTTCCATCCACTCTCTGCATTCGATTCGGGCCCGACTCTCGTGTCCCTACACGTCGCAGCAAAAAACGGCAAGGCGGAACGCATCCTGCGCACCACTAATGACTATGTTAGAACTCGCTTGATTCACAGCAGCGGCTCCCTGGCGTTACGGGCCGGCGCGCCGCCACGGCCACGTGCTCGATCAATCGGCGTCCATGCCGCACCACGGCATCTGCGACGCCATACTCCCTCCTCTTCGGCGTGCCACCAAGCTACGACGAGCTCCGGTGTTCGGTGTCGCTGCTACTAACGTGCTTCGCCACGTCGGCGCTAAACTTCGCCCCACGCTCCACCGCGTGCGTCTTCATTGGGTACCCACCGATCATCGCGGCTACCGATGCTACGACATCACCACCGGCCGCCGTCATCACGTCTCGCACACGTCGTCTTCGACGAGGCGGTCTTCCCTTCCGCCACAACCACATCGGCCGACCACATGTGCCCCGTCCACCACCAGCTCAACTTGAGGACGACACGCCGCCACAACTCGTCACCGAAGCTGCCTCACGCGACCGACGCCAAGACGGGATCGTGCGTTCGAGAGGTGCCTCCGAACAGCCCGTGGCGTCGTCTTCAACATCTCGCATCGACTTCCGCGGCATCGCCCACGCCAACGCCGACGTCGCGCCACCACGCCGCCCATGGCATCGTCCCCGCCATCGCCACCGCCGCCGGCGCGCGTCCACCGCCACCACCGGTCATTCCATGGTCACCCGTGCACGTGATGGGATCCACAAGCCGAACCCCAAGTATGCCCTGGCGGCCTCGGGCACACTCTCGCCGGTGCCCCGCTCCGTCCGCTCGGCTCTCAAGGACGACAACTGGTACACGGCCATGAAAGCTGAGTACGACGCCTGCAGCCAACGGACACTGGACCCTCGTCCCGAGCCACCGGCCGCGCGCGCATCATCTCTCGGAAGTGGGTGTTCAAGCACAAGATGAACCCCGACGCACTCTTGAGCGTTATAAAGCTCGATGGGTCGTGCGCGGATTCAATCAACGGCCCGGCATCGACTTTGGCGAAACCTTCTCCCCGGTGATCAAGCCGGCGACCATCCGCACCGTCCTCACGCTCGTGGCATCGCGCAAGTGGCCTGCTCATCAACTCGATGTCTCCAATGCCTTCTTGCACGGCAATCAGAGGAGCGCGGCAGATATCGTCAAGAACCCACGGGCTTCGCCGATCCCGCACGGCCCGATGATGTCTGCCTCCTGTCGCGCTCCCTCTACGGACTACGCCAAGCTCCTCGAGCGTGGTTCGACCGCTTCGTCGCGCACGTCACCTCGCTTGGCTTTGTGCAGTCCAGAGCCGACACTTCGCTCTTCGTGTACAACCGCGCCGACGCCCAGGCTTACCTGCTCCTGTACGTGGATGACATGATCCTCTCCGCGCCGCTCTACAACCACCGCTCCACCGATTCGTCGGCGGCTACAAGACGCCTTCAAGGTGAAGGACATGGGACCCGTACACCACTTCTCTCGACATCGGCGTTCGACGAACCGCCACGGCTTCTTCCTCTCCCGACGCATGCGCCGAGGACTCTTTGAACGCGCGGCATGGCGAATCGCAACTCATCGTCCTCCAGCAGCAGACACGGCGGCAAGGTCTCGGCGGCGGACGGCACACTCATCAGCCGACGCCACCACCTATCGCAGCCTCGCCGGTGCCCTCCAATATCTGACGATAACCCGCCCCGACATCGCGTACGCAGTGCAACAGGTCTGCCTCCACATGCACGCGCCGCGGGATGTGCACCTCACCATGCTCAAGCGCATTCTTCGGTACATCAAGGGCACGGCTCATCTCGGTGTTCAATCGCCACGCCATCTCTCGCCGACGATCACCGCGTGACTTCGGACGCGGATCGGGCGGGCTGCTGCGGACACGAAGGCGTTCCACGCCGGATATCAGATCTTCCTTGGCTCCTCCCTTATCTCGTGGTCGCCCAAACGGCGTACCACGGTTTCAAGGTCGAGCGCCGAGGCGGAATACCGCGCCATTGCCAACGCCAGTCCGAGTGTTCTGGCTATGGCATCTCCTTGGCGAGCTCATTGTGCAATGTGCCATCAGCGATCGTGGGCGTTCTGCGACAACATTTCCTCGGTGTACATGTCCAAGAACCCCGCCCACCATCGCCGGACCAAGCACATCGAATCGACATACACTTTGTCGTGGGAAAAGGTCGCCATTGGGGAGCTCCGTGTCACGCATGTTCCAAGTGCGCGACAACTCGCGGATGTGTTCACCAGGGTCTGCCTTCGGCGCTCTTCTTCGACTTCAGGGACAGCCTCTCCGTCACGACTTCCGACGCCGACACTGCGGGGGTGTCGGCGAATACCACCAACGGTGGCTAGCGCCGCGCCCGGTCTTCAGCATCACGACGCCAACGGCTCCAGCTTCCGTGAGCGCATGCACGCCAAGACGGCGTCCGCGCCTCCCTTGCATGTGTTAGGCCAGCTCGCTCACTCACGCTGGCTCCACTCACTCGCTAGGCCGCTGCCCGCTCTCGCTCTTGTGCAGACCGCTTGTACAGCCATGGCCAAAGGCCTATATATGTAAACTGTGTATAATGAATATGATCATCCAGTTGCATAATCCTATTCTACAGTTGGATGCCTTCACTTGCCTAATGGTGAGCAGAGTCACCTTTGAGAATGCATTGATGTAAACCTCACTACAATGCCAAAAAAAATCAATTTTAGATAAACATCAATGGAGCTTGATAATTGGATAGACAGGAAAATTATTGGACTGCATTTCCAGTTGGAGGTACATAATTAGGTAGCTCCAAGAATAATTAGGTAGTATAACAAGAATCCAGTATTTTTGACTGTCAACAAGAATCCAATATCCTTTTATATCCACAGAAGTGCAAGCTTGTAGGACATTTTATATTCCCTTGAGTCACTGATGGTAATGTTCCAAACATGCTCTATCAAACCAGATTAAATGCTTAGATTCACAGAACATTTCATAGGGTGAAAAGCTTATTTAAATTATTCATGGATTTAGTCTGTAGGGAAAAACCATTTAATGTATCTCTAAAAATCAAAGTTGCCGCCAGGAACCAAATGAATCTGAAATTGTAAGGGCAGACTTAGCGGTTTATGTGAGGAAGAAATGCTTATGGATAAAATGAAGATAAACGTGTGCATTCGATTAACGAAATTATCGGAACAATGTCTGCAAAAGTACGATCTACTTGTAGAAAGGAACAAGAAGAATAATGGATCACAGTGAACATTGACAGTCCAATGTATGAGATGTGATCATAGGTAAACTTAGCTATTTATCTGAATTCTAAAATGTCAGTAATACAAGCTGAAAATTGGTGTTTATTGATAGACCTTGCACGCTGAGATCGAACTATGGAGAGGAAACTAACCAACACAACAATACCCTGCCATGTCCAAGAACTGCGTTCTGCTCCCCATCTCCAATCTCCACCAGCTCCAAAATGATCGAGAACAGCTCTTTTAGTCTCGTACCCTGAAATTATTTCCTCAAGCCATCAAATATCATCAAAGTTAGAATGCTTAGGGAACTCAATCACATAAATTTCAGTTAATTGGTCAACAAGAGATACATTTAACTTTAAGTCAATTGGTCAGACATATGAGCGGCCACTCCAGCAAAGCAGCATCCTCACCTGGTGCGCAGGCCATGATAGGCGTGTTCGGTGTCATTGACGAAGAGGAGCACGGTGGAGAAGCCCTTGACCCCGACGGCGACGGCCGCCTTGGGGTAGCGCTCCACGCGGAGCTTTGCGAAGGCGACAGCGCTGCCCATGGCGCGCAGCGCGGCGGAGGTCTCGGCGAACCGGAGCTGTGCGCTGCGCTCGCACCATGGCGCGTACCCAACCAGCAGCAGCTCCGCGTGGTCCTCCACGGCGCGGCGCGTGTTTTGTTGTCGAGCGCCAGCACCATCGACTGTGCCTTTCGCGCCGCCTCCGCGGCACCCCGACATCGCCGCCCGCCGCATTCAGCCCGCCCTGTTCTGCCATCGTCCAGGTCTAGCCGCGTCGCCATATGCCAAACTCATTGCAGCAGTCATCTTGCAGGCAACGGCAGGCTGGTTCTGACGGAGGAGGGTTCGATCCGGTAGCGAGGAGGGGAAGATCTAGCAGCGCCGTTGCGTACTCACCCCTCTCTCGGTATTCACGGAGCGACGGGGCGGCGTGGCCGCGTGACTGAGCAGGGGCGGGCCGACGAAGTCGATGGGAGAGGGGCGGCCGAGCGGGGCGGCATGCGGCATGCGGCAACAGGGGAAGCGTCGGGAGCAGGGCATCGGGAGTGGAGGCGCGCTGCGGAGGCGTGTGCCGGCCTCAGGCGCCCGCACGTCAACTACGGCGGCGCCCCAGCAGCACCACCAGGCAATTGCGACAGGCCGTTATCTGCCAGGCACCGTCCACCAGCGCCCATTGCAATATGTGAAATATTTGATCTACTTTTCAAATATATAAATAAAACATTTTTTAATGTACTTCTAAAATGGATGAAACACTTGAAACATATGTGTATAATCATAGCAATATATACAACATCCAGATCCATTTTTGCAGCATCCATATGAAACAATTGCAATATAAGTCTAAAACATCTTAAAACACTTGAAAACATACGTTTGAAACATGCGTGTATAACCATAGCAACATATGCAACATCCAGATTAAACACTTGAAGCCTATGTCTGAAATACTTGAAAACATATGCTTGCAACATGTTATATTATCATTGCAATATATGCAACATCTCAAATATACTTTTGTAACATCTGGGTCAAACACTTGAAACATGAATATACAACGTCTGAAACATTTTGAAACACGACGTTGACGGCAGCCACGACCTACCTAGTGGGAACTCGGTAGTCAGCAAGCTCGCGTAAGGTGTTTCGCCGCTCGCGCTCGCGCCAGTCAGTTTGGCCCTTCGCTCCTCCTATGATTCTGCCGCCCCTGCTCGCGACCTAGCCTCACGCTCGTCCACGTGGCCCTGCTATTGCTACTCTAGCGCCGTTGTTCGCTCGGCCACAGTCGTCTACCGTCGTCCACTCGGGAAATGGGGCAAGGCACGGGCGCGATGGGGTGCGGCGTGGTAGGGAGAGGGCACGGCACAACAAAGGAATGAGGTGTGGCGGGGCGGAGTGGGAGCAGGCATGAGCGGCCACACCGCGGCGGACGAGTGAGCAGACGCACGGGCCAGAGAGAGTGCGGCTCTACGCGGCCACATGTCGGAGCAAAAATAATCGCTGGTGAAGCGTCTTACGCCCCCACTTCACCATGAACAGTGACGGGTGCTGTTTGATCTTTTTAGGAGTACATAAATATACTAAATAACTACTACTGAACTCTTTTCGATCGGATAGTCGGTCGAAACTTGAAAAACATCATTGTCAAAAAAAAACATCCATCTAAGTATGTGATCATATTTCTGCACTAGTGTATTTTTTTAGAGAAATATTTACCTCCACTAGTAGTAGTGGTAGAGTGGCGTGGAGCAAGCGAGCGGTCTGTGCGCTAGTGGAGTGGACTAGTACTCGTGCTCATGCTCGTGCTCGTGCGGTCGTGCTTCCTGGAGAGCTCATGTGGATTTGGGGCTCACGTGCTACTGGCTCGCCTACTCGTGAGGTATGCGGTCACGCGAACGCGGGCACGGCAGTGCAGGCGTTCTGCCGAGAACACCCGAACTCCCGAAAAGCGAACACAAGCACTGTGCAACGGTGGCGGTGGTGCGTCTCATCCCCACAATGACGCGGCCTCCTTGGTTCTTGAACATCACGTATGTGAACCTATAAATATTTTTTTCTTGATTTTTACATTGGGATTGCAAAACTCAGATAGACCTTGATTCTTGAACATCACGTAGGTGAACCTACATTCTTTCCTTGATTTTTAGCCTACTAACCTATATGTAAACTTAATTTTATGGTTTCTCATGGCAATTTATAAAATAAATCTATATTCAGGTTCATGGACTAGCCCCACTTATATTCCCAAGATAAACACCCTGTTCGCTGGTTGGTTTCAGCCAGCCTTATTCAACCAGCCAACAATGTTTTTCTCTCATAACAAACCAGCACTAGCCAGCCCAAACCAGCCCAGAAACCAACCAGCGAACACGCCGAAAATGATGAACAATGTATAGAACAAAACATGACATAGAAGTCAAAATTTCCAGTTCAAGCTGTCCATGTCATGTCTTGCAGCCTTGCACAAGCTTAAGGCTAAGGCTACTGTGAATCTGTGATATGCCATGGACTGTTTTTTTTTTTCTTGGGTAAAGTCTCGTGCAAGACTGAAGGGTAGTGTGATATGCCATCGCCTAGATAAGACTGAAGGCTGGTGTGATATGTCATGGCTCATGGGAAAAGAGTACATATAACTAGAAGTTATCTCCAATGATCCTGCGCACAAGTTACAAATATGCACATTAGTTCATATTAAACAAAGTAACAGAAATGTCAATGCTGACCTCTCAATCATCACTAAAAGGGTACATAGTCTCATTTACACAAGCACAACTCAACTCCCGTTTTTTCGTTCAGAAACATCACATAAGCGTCAACTTCATAGATTGAAAACCACCAAGTTTATCGCAAACATACAAACCACTAAACCACTAAAAACAAGAAAGATTAACTAAATTCAAGGATGAATCTCAAAAGAAGTACATGAACAACAAGGATGGCGAGTGCAAATGAGTGATCCTTCAGGAAAGAAAAAACATCACCTTACAATTACAACCTTACACATGCAAACATGCCCTTTCATGTCCTTAGGCGTGAGATCCAGTAATCATTAAATATAAAATACTCCATATTGTTCAAGGAGACTAACTAAAGTGTACTAAATAGGAATGACCGAAATGTGTTTTTTGCGGCTGATAAGTTGGTTGATGCTGTTTTGTTGTGAGAGAAATACATTGTACAATGGTAGATAAGACAGGCTGATAAGTTGAAGCCAATGATGTTTCCTTTATTTCGATTTCACGAGATCAGATTAGAAGGCAGTTGGCATTGATTTTTTTTTAGAGGCCTGGGAGCCTGCAAAGTGCAATCAACTTCCGTCAATTCCAGACCCACGGCCCATCAACATTTAGCAAGGCCCGCCACGGCCCCAAGGTCAAACCCCAAAATTCTCCGTTTCCCACCAGAAAGGCAAAAAAACCAAACCAAAACTTCGGACGCGATTGCCATTCCCACGCGCGCCCGCGCCCCGCCCCGCCAAAGGCCAAAGGCCAAAGCCACGAAACGCCTGCGCTGCTCGATCCGCCCTCCCGCTCCTTGGCCAATAGGAGGCGAGCCATCTCCATCCAACGGCTGGCACCATCCCTCTAGCCCCTCACACGGATCGCGACCCCATCCAACGCCTCCCAGCTCCTCTCCCGCCTCTATATTATCATCCCCTTCTCAACCAGCCCGTCCCCATCCAAGTCACAGGCTCGCTCACCCCACCAACTAGCAAGGAAAATTTCCCCAATTCCTCCGTCTCCGCTAGAGAAGAGGCCGACGATGTCGGGGCGCGGCAAGGGCGGCAAGGGCCTGGGCAAGGGCGGCGCCAAGCGTCACCGGAAGGTGCTCCGCGACAACATCCAGGGGATCACGAAGCCGGCGATCCGGAGGCTGGCGCGGAGGGGCGGCGTGAAGCGCATCTCCGGGCTCATCTACGAGGAGACCCGCGGCGTGCTCAAGATCTTCCTCGAGAACGTCATCCGCGACGCCGTCACCTACACCGAGCACGCGCGCCGGAAGACCGTCACCGCCATGGACGTCGTCTACGCGCTCAAGCGCCAGGGCCGCACCCTCTACGGCTTCGGCGGCTAGGTTAGCCGCGTCCTGCTGTCGCTGTGTGGTTGTAGTGTTGCTGCAGTTCGCGAGTTGTGCCTGTCGCTGTGGTTCTAGTATTGCTGCAATTCGCGAGGTGTGCCTGGGTATGGAAAATGCAGCTACTGTACCACTGGACTGGAGCAAGCGTGTTGCATATGGTGTCTGTTTAATATTGAGTCTTATCCTGAAGAAATGGCAATGATTATGACCTGTTCAGGATTCCCAACATGCTCCATTTGACTCTGCTTTCGTTTGTACAAATGTGAGCCATTTCAGTACTTTGCTGAACTCCAGACTTGGAATATCAGTTCCATGACTTTGCCTTTAACTTGAGCCATGATGTGTCCTACGCACATTGCATCTCAGTAGGCTTATTTATTGCATACTTCCTCTGACAAAAAAAAAGAGTTATTCTCACTTACTAAAAGGTCAGTGGTTTTTAATTTTGACTAAATATATTTAATAAGATATTAATATTTATGGTACATAATTAGTATTATTAAGTAGATTGTTGAATATATTTTTATAATAAATTTATTTGAAGATATAAATGTTGTACATATTTTCTACAAATCTAGTTAAAGTTGAGAAAGTTTGGATTCGTATAGTGACTCTATTCTTGAGACAGAGGAATAATTACCTATGTCTCCATTTCATTTTGATGAGTTGTTTCATTAAGGATCTGCTTGGATAGGGTTTGGTTTGTTCTGTAAAAGTCTGCAGAGTAAATAATTCACTTTCAGATTCAGCTGCTGATCATATGGTGCCATGGATACTTCTAGACAAATGAAGTGCCAAGTGTTTGCTACTATGTTCGATCAAAACATAAAATCTCCCTTTTCAACTGTACGTGGCCTTGTGCACACTCATTTCCATAATGTTTTTCTAGTGTTCATGTTTTCTAGAATGCAATAATTTTGATAGCATGCCCGAGATAACTTTGTTGTTTCTGCAAATAGTGAAAGATTCATGTGTGGGACATGTAGGAGATACTGATCTTAAAGAGAACGCCTACAGGCTACAGCTTCTGTTCCCACAGCCACCCTGAGAAGGGTGATGTCCTGTTGCAACGTCTTCCCATCTAGAACAAAATGAGCGCGTGTTCAGTCCCACCTTAAATTCCTAAAAAGTGCTACAGTACC